AATTAAGAGCCATAGGCAAAGAGGTTTTCAGAGAAGATTTGAAACCTGAGTGTTGATGACAAGGATTTGATTCAGACAGTAAGAGCTGTTCTTGACAATGGCTAGATTGTGCGGAAGAGCATAGGCATCCAATGAAGAAAGCAAGGTGGGGATAGGGAAATGAGCCATTGAGACAGACTATTATTTCCAGGGAGATTAAAGTGTCAGGGCAAATTCAGATCCTGAAGTGGATGATGAGCCATAGGAGAAGCTGAGGAACAGTGGTGTGCTTTTTTAAAATAGACTCCAATGGTGGTGAGAAGTGGTATTGCCACAGGTCTCAGCCTGGAGAACCAGAACTTGGGGAGGTCAAAGAGGAGAATTTCAATAGTTAAGAAAGGAGGTGATCATGGATGACTATTGCAGAAGAGGAAGAAAGGCGGCAGGGTGTACACAAGCAGTGTTGGGGACTCAGACAGAAGTGGGAAGAAAGTGAGGATTCAGGGTGAAAGGCGCCAGAGTTGGACAGTGGAAGTGAACAACTATGTTAGAAGAAGCTCCTTTTGTTCAAGAAAAGCACTTTGGTCTCATAGTCCAAGTATCTGAATGTCCTTTAGCTAAACATCTTGGGTTTGCATTTGCTTAGAGCTTTTAGGAAGGTCAGAACACTAGTTAAGTATTGCATCTTAAAACCCATTTGGTTCTTGTGGACCAGCTATGACAGAGTTCTTTCCTATTTTGGGAACAAGGATCTGTTGGGCAACAGCATGGAGTACTAGCTAGGGTCTAGGCTCAGTGTGCAAATTAACTTGCTTAGAAATTTAACATTGTGCAGTGTCTAAAAAGCTTCCATGTGGACTGGGGCAGGACTGCTGAAGATCAGTATATTATAGGGTTAAGTGAAACCACTTGGGACCCATTTGTCTATCAGGCACTTGTTATTCCCAGGAATGAAAGGACATGAGTGCATGAAGAGGAGTGAAGCCAGTAGACTCTTCAGAAAGAAAGGGCAGTACATCAAAGGGGAATGGTAAATACCCTGGCTCTTGAAGATATCGCACAACCATCTCTTTGGCGGGATCCCTCCATTTCAGACATCACGGCATATCTGGTTCCAATCAGTTCAGCAATGGTTGGTGATGGCCGCCTTGTAGGAGAGGGGTAGTCCTAGGCAAAAAGGACAGTTAAGAGTGAGAGACCAAAGAAAAAGGCCAGTTTGACTAGGATTCTAAACCCGAATTGAACTCCAGCCCCATGTGACTGATGGGTCTCTAGTACAGCAACTGCCCAAGTCATCTCGAGCATCTCCTCTCAAGCTCAGTTCTGAGACAGAGGGCAGCCTGGCAAAGCGCCCTTCTGAGTCACAATACAGCTGTGCCAGAGTCTGAGGGAAGTGAAGGATGGCAAGGGAAGCACCTGGCTCCCATCTGGAAGGTGAGCCATGTTCTGAAGAAGTTTAGAAAACCAGCCATGAAAGACAGCTACAGGCCACAGTTATATGGTCTGCTCCCCATACAATAAACAGCCTGGTTGTATTAGGAGGCTAAGTTCAAAAGGCCTCCCTGACACAAGTGGTGTACCCCCTTCTGCAGCAGACAGGTGACAAAACGGCAGCAGTGAAGGGATCGCATTTAAAGGTGCAGTACACAATTCAGCACAGAGGACCAGAGCCACAAAGGTACTTAGGCACTTAAGTCCCAGTTTTAGGCTCCACTGCAGACCACAGACCTCACTGCTGCCTCCCACTAGGCATCCAGATGCCTAACTCCCGGAGCACTCCAGGAACAGGGGAAGATGATGTTCCTCCAGCTAACTCGCATGCAGGGCTGGATCCTGTAGGCATGTCAGTGGCAGCCTAGCAGATTAGATCCCATTCAAAATCCAGCATACAGAAGAGGTACCAGCCTATAACTTTCAGCCCAATGGTTTGAGCACTTACATGGGATGTGGGAGACCCAGGTTCCATTCCCCTCCTCTGACTGAGGGGAGACGGGAGAGGCCCTACTCAAATCTCAGGAGAGCACTCCAACCACTGAGCTATGGGATATTCTGGTGTGGGCTCCCCCAGTCTCTCCTGTTGAAGCTTTTCCTGGATGGATAAATACTAAAGTGCACCAGAGAGAGATTATTCTGTATTCCAGTTATTAGGGACCCACCTGAAAGATGGGAGACCCCAGCTTCAGGCCCCTTGCTCCAATCACTATTTATCCACAGTGGAACAGCTTCAACAGGAGACAGAGCCTCACACCAGTACCTCCCATAGCACAGAGGCTAGAGCACTGTCAGGAGAGGTGAAAGACCCCCCATTCAAATCCTCTCCTTCACCCCCAGGCAGATTAGAGGAATAGGGTGACTGCTCTATCCACTGGACAAAAAGCTATAAAGTGGGCACCACCACCACCCTCCTCCTCCTCCTCTCTTCCCCCCTCCCCCTAACAAGTTTTGTGTGGAGTGAGCCAAGCACTTCTTGCAAGAATTAATTAAGTGATTTATAAGCCTAAACTGCCTGACTCCAGGAGTGATGTTGCCAGTTCGTGAATCACGAGCAGATAGGCTCTTAAATCCAGGCTCCTCCCTGCAGCCTAACACACACCACCATTGGCATCTCCCATTGGCTAGCTTAGGTGACTCCCTGCCTAACATGCTAGCTTTGCGAATCACTTTCTAAGGCACCTCTCCCCCCATTCATAGTATATGTACGTAGGCCCTTGTGACGTCGTGCAGTCTATATGGTTTTATAAAAACATGATAAATGAATATAATGTAACTGGAATATGCTTCATGCAAAAGGTCTCTTGTAAGGTATCATTACAAAGCTTATAATCTACTGAGTGTGATCATCCTATTTGTATAAATGTACCACTCTTGTATCTAAAACTAGAAATACAAAATATAACTGAGGGCCTATTGTAATTATGCAAAGTGTGGGCCATTAATGGTGGTTTGGAATCTTGATGACTCCCATTAACCAGGACCATTGTCTGCAGATGGCTGTGTTTACCTGTGAGTCTTCCTGTATGTGGGTGTGCTGGCAAGTGGGTAATGAAGTCTTGCAGTGACATGTGATCATGTCACCTGAACTGAATCCATCTTTAACCTGGTGCTTTTCCAGTGAGGAGGGGTGGGGAAACCCAGAGGGACAAAGGGTTCCGCCTTATGCAAAAGATATATAAATGGGTGGAACAGAACAAAGGAGGGAGGGGAGCCATCATGAAGAATCTCCTAGCTACCACCTAAGCTGGAACAAGAGCTGTACCAGGGGAAAGAATTGTGCCCAGGCCTGGAAGGTGTCCAGTCTGAGGGAAAAAAACAAAACAAAAAACCCACAAACGTACTGAAGCATCTCTGAGGGTGAGATTATCTGTATTTAGTTTGATTAGACCTAGATTTGCGCATTTTATTTTGTTTTGCTTGGTG